AAAATTATAGAGAATTATATTACAAACAACTTTTGTTTAAACAATTTTTATAAAAAAAAATATTTTTTTACATTTTGTCAAATTTCGCGAATACGGACCATTTTAGGAAAATTTTGTAAATAACAAAAATTATAGATAATAAAATAAGAAGTAACTTTCATTTAAAGAATTTTCTTCTCCAAACGTAAATAACAGATATATTCCATAAAATATAAAAATGACCACCTATAAAGTACCCCCCCAGATGTTCAGACTCTGCCCAAAATCTAATCAGCTCATAAGACGCTGGAACAAAGCTTAAGTTTGAAATTTGTTGTTTCTCCGTGCATCGGTTCATGAGTTATGCGTTATACAGACACACACACACACACACACACACACACACACACACACACACGCACGCACGCACGCACGCACGCACCCACACACACACACACACACACACACACACACATACACACACACACACATACACACACACACACACACACACACAAACACACACACACAAACACACACACACACACACACACACACATACACACACACATACACACACACACACACACACACACACACACACACACACACACACACACACACACACACACACACACACACACACACACACACACACACACACACACACACACACACACACACACACACACACACACACACACACATACACACACACACACACACACACACACACACACACACACACACACACACACACACACACACACACACACACACACACACACACACACACACACACACACACACACACACACACACACACACACACACACACACACACACACACACACACACACACACACACACACACACACACACACACACACACACACACACACACACACACACACACACACACACACACACACACACACACACACACACACACACACATACACACACACACACACACACACACACACACACACACACACACACACACACACACACACACACACACACACACACACACACACACACACACACACACACACACACACACACACACACACACACACACACACACACAGACATCATCGCGAAAATAGTCAAAACGGATTCAAGGGACCTCAAAACGTAAAAATCCGTCGAAAACTCGAGGTCGAAAAAAATCATGATTCCTATACTTTCCTTATATCTGTAAACAGATAGGAAAGTAAAAATAGAAAGAACTTTTCTCATATATCTTTAGTGCAAATTTTAGCAGCTCAAATCTTATTTTGTTACACACATTTATTATTATCATTTGTCGCTTAAAATCACTAACAAAAGATTTTAATTTCATTATGTCAACATCTGGTCAAATACGTCATCTGTCAACTCAAGGCAGTGATAATTTTTCCCAATGCATCGTATGTTATCCTCTGAGACTAATAATTTCACAAAACATCCATTATATTTATATCAAACATAATGGTGTAGAGCTAATACCTGAAACTGCCAAAAAAAACTTACCACACTATTTTTTTGTCAATCTTTTTTTTAACAGTTACAACCTTCTATATAGAAGTCGCGGTTTTTCTGGTCTATTTTTAATTTCCAGTGTTTCTGGTAAATGCTGAGGTTGAAGGACAGGTTGACACATTAATTTCGTTTTGGGAAAGAGCTTTTTGGATATTAAAGGGGGCTAAAGATTTGTATGGGAGTATGGATATTTTTAAAACCTGGAATTGTAGATACTGGTCATAAATAAATAATGATGTATTTCAGAATTTTTGGATTTTCACATTTTAAGGGAGGAAACAAGGATGAAACTTTGTTTGAAAATAAATAAAAATAAATAAAAATAAATAAAAATAAATAAAAATAAATAAAAATAAATAAAAATAAATAAAAATAAATAAAAAAAATAAAAATAAATAAAAATAAATAAATATAAATAAAAATAAATAAAAATAAATAAAAATAAATAAAAATAAATAAAAATAAATAAAAATAAATAAAAATAAATAAAAATAAATAAAAATAAATAAAAATAAATAGTACGATCAGATTTTTAATTAGACCACTATTCTTAAATATTAGATTACTCTACTCCGATTTATATACATACCATGAACCCTAAAGAAAATAATATATTTTTTTTGTACACTCATGCATTTTTGTTTATTAAAAACACGACTCCACGCATCCGAAGCCGCGAATAACACCTAGTATTAATACAATTAAACGTTACTTTTAAATTTGGTAACTTCTTAGAGAGTATGATAAATTGGAATGCAAATTTAAAAGTAAGGTAATATTTAAATACCGTTTTTCCAGGACAATGGATAGGTCGTAGGGGTCCTATTGAATGGCCAGCTCGCTCCCCAGACTTGACTCCACTGGATTTCTTTTTATGGGGACATTTGAAGTCTGTTGTTTACAGGACACCACCACAATCCATTGCTGATTTGCGTAATATAATCATAGAGGAATGTAGAGATTTAACACCACATGTCTTTGAAAATATTCGGAACGCTTTCGAGAATAGACTGTACTATTGTTTAAATGTAAACGGTAAACATTTTGAACATTTGATTAAACTAAAAAATAAAAATAGTCCTTACTTTAGTTTATAAAGCGAAATTTTGTTGGTCTATAAGAATACCTATTTTTGTGATAAGTTGTATTTTTTTGTGATAAGTTGTATTTTTTTGTGATAAGTTATATTTTTTTGGATAATTAGATTTTTTTGTTTCTATCTGCTTTAATTATTTCGAAATTTGTCTACTGTCCAAGGTTACTAGTTCTTTTTTTTAATATCTGGTATCTGAACCTTTAGCTGTAAATATCTTTCAAAGTTCATTATGTAATTAAGTAATTTTTTCACATAGAGATACTAAAAAAACTACGCTCTTTCAGAATATGTAAAAAAAAATACAGGGTGTCATTTAAACTTTTGAACCGGGGGTGGCTGGGGGCGGCATATATCACGTTGGAGTGGTATCTTATACACTATTAATTTACCCCCTACTTCCTTAATGACCTTCCAAAATTTCAAGTCGATATATTTTAAAACACCAGAAATAATTCCATTTAAGGTTTTCGCGCGGACACCTGGTATAATGAAGAAGACATTAATATATGTGATGGAGTTGTAGTGTATTTAAGAAATTATTTAAAAAAAGCCTTAGACTATCTAAAGGTAAATTTTACCAAATTTATATATTGGTTTATTTAATACAAATGACTTTAAGAACAAGCGTTTGTTACTCTTAGAGTAAGAAATAATAAAATCTGTAGATACTTATTGCCTATCAATTTTTTTTTTTTGAGATATGTGGCTCTGATTCCATATTTTTTAAAAATAAGTAACTGCCCTAATTTCTATTTTTTGACATTACTGTATGTATTAAAAAATGTGAAATTTATTACTTAGTGGTAAGGACATACCTTTCGGAAAATATAACGAAAGAAATAATTGGATTTAATTCCTGTTGAGTTTCAAAAATATTAATTTATCATGAATTAAAAACAAATACATTGTTAAACCCTAGCCTTATTTAAGCTGTAGGCTTGTCGTATACTGCGTCCCATCATAGTGGACTGTATTCAAATTAGATTACCTGGGGTGGAGGCCTTATGCTCCACCCTGTAGGATCTGGAAGATATTCGGATCATGTTGACCCTTGAAGTTTTAGTTGAAGCACTGGGTGTATTAAAAATAAAACCATTACCATACTTTTAATTTTGGTATATTCACTGATTGATACGTTCACATATTTTAATACATTTACAAACTTTTATTTTTACTTAGGATTATTGATAAAGAGTTACATAGTTTAACAAGTACGAAAATAATTCACTGGCTCCTGGACTAGTACTGTATCGAAGGAATTTTACGAATGAAACAAATTAAGACCCTATTTACAAATACTACAAAAACGGTCAAATCTAGTTATGCTGTTGTCAGACGTTAATTTTTTTTTGATAATTTAAAGACTTAACAGTATTGCAAGCAAACGTAATTACATTATACAGTTAAAAACATCGCAAACTTGGCATCAATGTTTTATCCAAATATTGCTTTTCTGCCGAGGATCACCCGCGTTGGCTTCAGAAATTTTGTAAATAATCATATCTGTCTTGGTTATATATCTATGGGTGTATTAGACAATGAAGCCACTTATTTCATATGTGATCTATGCTTGGAAGTATAATCCCATTGTTTCTAAAATTGGAAATTTGACTAAAACAAAAAAAAATTGTCCTGTTTAATTTCTTCGTGAGTTGTTTTTGTTTTTTGTAAATAAAGTTATGTTTGGTATATCCATCATGAGGGTTGTCCCTTATTTTGTACTTAAACTTCGTTTTTAAACCATTCAAACTTTAAGTATCCCATTTTAGGGAAACTTCCCCTACTTTTATCCTTTTTTATTACTTAATTACTGGGCATATAATCTATTGGCGGAATAAGGGTTTTGCTAATAGGATATGAGGGAGTAAGATTAAAGTAATATCATTTTATATAACGAAGTAAGCAGAATTTTGAAGATAAATGTGGCAAGTACTTTTTAAAACTAACGAGAGCTTACTAGATGAAAATATTAAATATATAATTTTAATTGACTGCTGGCTCTCACACTATTTCTTCAATTTATAAAGCATTATGCAATTATTTACCCATGTAGATATGCATGACCATATTTTAAACTGTATCCAAAAGTAAAATAAAAATTGGAGCGTATACATACAAATCTAATTGAAAACAATTTGTGCTGTACCTGTAATGCGAAAATCTCACTTTACCTTGAGAAATTTAATCGATAAAGCAGGTCGATTCATCTCGCTGATCTAATTCCTCTTAACACATTTGCGTCCGTTTCTTTTTTCGTTTTTGCTTGCATCGTTTTCTGCTCCACTAAATGCCAATAATGAAAAGTCTTAAAAAGTAGCAATCGTTTTTTAAACTCGGCCTTTGATATAAGAGCAAGCCCGTTACTGCCTGTTCACATTTCATCTGACGACACAAGACCATGAAGTACTTAGTGTTAATTAGTGTTATTTTTTTGTTGTCCGACGTGAGGACCGAGACTCCTCAGCCGGGCGGCGGCATCCAGATTTTGACGAAAGTTTTTCGGCAGTATCTGAAGAGCCAGCCGGACGATCTGAAATTGGGCGACGGTGTTCATATTGTTAATACGAGAAGTGAGAACGATGCTAGGGCTAACGTGGACGACGGTACCATTTTGGGTGTGGTCGAGAATTATTTGGAGAACCACGAGCTCAGGATTCGGCTGCCGGAATTGATGCCGGGCGAAGGATTCGGAAGAGCTTTTAAAATGGCGATGGACGAGATGGACAACAAACAGGATGAAAGTGAGTGCTTTCTGGATTATTCTGAATACTTTTCTTTAAAAATTTTTGCTTTATTAATATAGCACGTCCTAATAGACAATAGTATTTTGTGCAATAAGAGTGGATATGATGGCCATATCGCACGAAGACGAAATTTGAGTACAACGCCGTAGTCAGAGTGCTCAATCGTTTGAGTGCAATGTAGACAATCCACTCGAGTTGTACAGTATATTTTTTCTACGTCCCACTACCGAAAATCTACAAATATTGAAAATTAATTTAGGTTATTGGGATAAAATAATTAATTTAAAAATAGTTTATGAGTTTTACTAATTTATAAAATAAAATAAAAGAAAAAAAAATATATTTCAATTTTTTCCGTCTGAGATTTATACTCGTGTCTTCCGTATGGAAGGCAAGAACCCTGACCACAGGACCATCAACGCGTTTATTTTTTTTGCTTTATAACTCATAATTAAATTGACTTTATATAGATTTATTTAAATTAACAAATTATTTATAATTATAAGCTAAATAAAAATGTAAATTCTATAATTTATTGATTCTGCACAAGAATAACTCATTTTAATGTACGTTTAATCTCAATAATTAAAAAATATACTGACAATTAGTTTGACAAAATTATCACTTATTTAAAATTTTAAAAATAATAGCAGTCGGTTGATCAAAATATGAACTGTGATAGGTGGATTTCATTTTTTTAAGCAGTGTTCTCACTTCTTAGAGTGGATATGAAATATATTCGTTCAGTTGAAGGCAATAACATACTTTTTCGTTTTGTAAACTGTGCGTAATTAATCTAATATCCATATGGGTATAAAAAAAATATAAATAAACAAATTAAAATTAGTATTAACTAATTTAATAAAATCACCCATAAATACAAACGACTCTAAATAATAATTTGGTAATTTAGTTGTGTATTAATTATATGGTTTAGTAAATTCGTTTAAAGCATAATAAAATTTGTAGAATATTTTAAATTTTCAGGTAGACTGTTACAATAATTAATGCATTCATATTATATTAATATTATGATTATTAAGTGATAAATGATTATCTAACATGCATCCTAAATGTTTAAATTCGGTAACAAACAAAATTGTATTATTTTAAATTTTAATTTTATTCAAGAGCGTACGTACAATTTTTCGTGTATAGAAGTTTCAATGCTATTTTTTTTCATACCTCAGAATTATACAAATCCTTAAAAAACTGCTCAAGCCACTTTTATGCTGATGATAGTCAGATATATTATGTTTTTGATGAAAAAAACATAGACAGTTCTATTAATATAATCAACAATGACTTGGATTCACTGGTTTCATACTCTATTAAAATAGGACTCTCTATAAATGCTAAAAAGTCAAATCTAATGTTTTTCGTCAGACGAGTGAAGCGGAATAGATGCCTTGACAAAGTACGAATTAGGGTAAACGATGAGCCACTGTCCATTAAGGACAAGTGTAAAAACTTAGGTATCATTATAGATTCTGATTTAAATTTCTCGTCACATATATCTATAATTATTAGAAGGGGGTTTAGTAATATAAAATTAATATATTCTGACCGAAAATTACTGACTTTAAACTCTACAATGGTTTTATGTAATAGTTTAGTTATATCGCACTTAAATTACGGTGATGTGGTTTATGGTCCAAACATCCGCAAATTTGATTCCAATCGATTACAGAAGTTACAAAATTCATGTGTAAGATTAATTTGTGGCATTAGGAGAAGGGAACATATTTCGCACCATATTAACAGAATTGGTTGGTTAACCACAATTCAACAACGAGTATGGAACGCTTGCTGTCAGTTTAATTCAATTATTTCTAAGAAAACACCTCCGTATCTTTACAACAAAATAAGATATTTAGGACGGACGTACATAACGTGAATATTCGTTGGAAAAATAGATTAACCATACCATTACACCGAACACGTGCTTACAGAGGTTCGTTTTCATATCAAATCGCTCATCTTTTTAATTGGTTTCATGACAAACATGGTAATTGCAGTAATAAATTAAATTTTAAGAAACAGTTGAAGAATGATTTACTAAATAGTGTTATGACACCACCAGATTTTTAATATAATATATATTTTGTTGTTCTCTGAATTTTTAAGTATGTCTCTTATTTTTATTTTTAGAAGTTTAGTTAGTTTTCTTTTGATACTTAAGTAGATAATACTTGTACAAAAATTAAATGTACATGGTTGGGTGGAAGAGCAGAGTTACTTAAAGGCAGATCATCTACCCTGAACCCTGCCAATTGACATAAGTCATATATGTATGCATAATGTCAATAAAAGCATTTATTATTATTATTTTTTTATTAAATTTTGGTAAAACTAAAGAATATTTTAAAAAAATTTAAAAAGTACAATTAAGAATATGTTGATATCTAGAGAAGTGCTGCCTTGACAACATGATAATAATTTTTTTATGGAAACAGAGGGCGGTTGAAAACTGTAAAAGTAACAACAAATTTTCATTTCATAAAAATAATAAGTCAGCTTTTTTGTTTTTCATATAAATCATCTACTTTCCATGGTAACAAATCAGAAGGAAAATCACCAAAAACCGATTTCAAAAAGGTCTATTAGTTTTTTTAGAAAATGGAAAAAGAAACAACGCTTTTTAATCGAGTTAAAATTCTTTACTAATTTCGCTGGCTTTCTTCCACGATATCTGGTCTCCCTCTTGTTTAAAATCGATAACTATAGACGGATTAAGGTATTTTGTACCGTTTTAACACGTGCATGTTACTACATTTGAATTAAAACATTTGTGAATGTTAAAAAATTTATGAAAGATTTTGTAGAATATAAATCTTTTTTATAAAAATTAGTAAACTTTGCTGTATATATACGATATTCTAAAAGGTAAGTCACATTTATGTGATTATAAATTTTTTAATTATTTTCTAATATAATATGGATTGCTCTTTAAATATATATACAGTGTCTCGCAAAAAGCTTGCTCCATATTGTCACTTTTTCAGAAAATGTTATTCCTGATAAAACTTGGAGTTTAATTTTAAACCTGAAACTTTCTTTATTTTAAATATAAGTAAATATAAATTTGGCTGCGCAGTGAACTAGGTATCCATCTAGAAACATTTTTACATTTAAAATTAATTTAAAACAATGTATATATATCCATAAAGTACTTTTTAGTTAATAAAATTAATCTAGTTTTTTATATACTTTTTTACGTAAATTAAAAAAGTTTAAAAATTTGTTGCTTTCTTGGTGCGTCGTATAATTTCACTTTGTATATGTTTAGGTACAGATAATTATAGATACTGGCAGTTTATTTTTAAATCATGAAAATAATATTTTGTTAATCCAAAAAAGTCAAACAAAAAAAAAATCCTTGCCACATACATTGTAACAATAAAAATTAAATATATAAATATAGAATGTTATGTATTAAGAGACTAAAATATTTTAGTCCTAAGGGAGTAAAAACGACACTTTAGTCCCTAAATTGAAGGAGTAAATTGCATGTTCCTTTGGTAAAAAAAATATTTATTTATGCAACAAGTGTGTAAAGTTACCCTTTTTTGACGAATGTGAATGTTGTCGCACTCACCTACGGCTTGTGCGACAATCACATGAGTCAAAAAAGGGACTTTACATACGATTTATATACAATTATCCACACATTATCCACTAATATTAGAAATATAAAAGTTACTTTTTTCACTAGTGTGTGAAGTACATAGTGATTTGGCTTTAGAAATTAATCTTGAACTTATACTTTTGTCGTGTTCTGTGATGATAAACTAATAAAAGTTTATAGAATCACAGTTCTTCTAATCCACACAGCCACGGTCTATTTACTTTTACCAAAAACGACATCCACGGTTTGTTTACTTTTAATTAAATCGATGACATGTAGAGAACATTATAATTAAAATAAAAACTCTTGATAATTTGTTGGGGACTAAATAGATATAAGCAAAAATAATTTACTTATTGAGTTTTAACAATAATTAGTCTTATAAGACCGTTTCGCACAAGATCCGTCAGCTACTACCTTTAATAAAAGGATAACTATTCTTATCAACTTTCTCATTCTTTTTTGCTAACGTAGCTTCCTCTTGTCCAGCTTCTATCATCTAACTCCAAGCAGCTTCTTGGTAATAGTCCCCCAGATCATTTTATATATAACGATACATCCGTTCAGGTACAGGAGGTATATCTATACTGCTTATTAACTCCGACAACTGACTTGACCCAATTCCAATCGAAATAGCTCCATTAACGGCTAAAGTATTAATTCAAAGTGTTTTCCTTTAAGGATTTGCACTATCAATACTGAACGTTTCTTGCAGATGTTGCAATGCAACAAAAACTTTAAATGTAGGCATTTTTTAACCTCTTTAACAATTTTGACGTTGTCACCACTGCAGTGAAATAATCCATGATGTGGAAAGTTTAACACCTGCTTTTATTTACTACTAACGTTGAATAGATATCAATAATTTTTTTTATAAAACAATGACAAAAAATCACATTTTTAAATTTTCCTATATAACCTTAATAGTTCAATTAATTTAATACCCTTGGTTAATCGCCCTAAGGATTTTATAAGTATACTTTGATTTAGGCTTCCGCGGTGGCGTTTTAGGTTTTTCTCTTAGTGACAACGATGACACAACGAAATCAATTGAATCCCTATAGGTTTTGAAGCATAAGGACTTAATTTTTTTGATTAGTTAATATTTTGTATAATGATATGAGTTGAGACCGGTCTAAGACAGGTTGGTTTATATCTTTAATTAAAAAAAGGTTATTTATTGTTAATTAAAATTGTAATTTTGGCAGATTAGTGCAATATATTTCAAATCGTTATATATAATTAAATTACAAAAATGCTTGTATATTTTTGGTTTTTATTAATATTTACTTCAAGATTAATGTAAACGTAAAATTTTTGGTTACAATCAAAATCGCAAAGGTACCAAAAAGATTTGTTACTTATGGTGGATTTAATCTTTTAGAAATGCTATGAAATCGTTAAGTATGGAACAAATTTAAAATTATATTATATTTTTTTGTATTAAATTTAATTTTATCTGTTTTGAATAGTTTTTTAAATTAATAAAAATATCAAAATAGTTTTAATGAAACTAGTCTTCAAAGTAAATCCGAACAATCCTAAATCAACGATTTATTATTCAATGTTGTTACAATGTTTGACTTACTATTATTAATTAGCTCCCTGTATCTCTGTTGTGGCAAACTCATAATGAGAGTTTACATTTAGCCTTGTTATATTGCATCCAATTTGGCTAATATACATCCAAACAGTTGTTTTTTGTTACAGTCAATGGTTTAATAGGATTAAAGTTTAATTCTCAATTACATAGTTATTTAATCTTCTTTACAGAAGTAAAATATGTACACGTTAATCATAAATGTGAGATATTTGGATAATTCAAAATCGCACAGTAATAATGGCGTTATCAAATCGAAATACTGAAATATCAAACCAAATATTAATTAGCTGATAAGTAAAATCACAACAAAAAAAAAACCGATTCAATAATTCGTTTGAAAATAGTGAGGTTAAAGTCTAAAGGAAAATACCGAAAGTAGAGGGACATGGACGAAGAAGGATTGTCTGAGCATTAAGAACTTACGGTAAGATCTATAGTACTAGGAGTATAGGAATGTGACCAGACTAAGCAGGATTACACTAAATCCAACAGAATGCCTGGGATCAATATTATAGGCACAGTAAAAGGTGGATCTTTTAATTTAGGGATTTAGACCAAATTGAGAAAACGAGAATAGAAAAGAAAATCCACATCTTCGTGGTTATAGGAGTGATATTTTAAAAATTTGCTAATTTTGTTTTAAAGATCCAAACCTTTTGTTAAACATTGGGGAACACAAAAGTTTTGGTTCACACCTTATCTGGAATGAGGTCCCAAGTAGCCCAAAAGAAACAATTTAATTTTGAACAAGATATCAAAAAATCCACCTCGTACTACCTGTCTATTAGAGTATTTTTCATTTTAAATACAGATTTAGTACCTGTGAATGACAGTCCTGGTCCCTCTTTCAGGAAGTCATTAGTATTTTCATTTCCTTGGATACCTATCTGACCTGGTACTCATGCTAGTTTAACCTTATTTTGTATTAGTGTTTTAGGAAGTTCCGGATCAGTTATGACTTGATAATATTCGAATTATTAAAGCCTTTAAGGATGCTTTGCTGTTTAAGATGTTTTTTTTTGTAATTATTTATCAGGTTTTCTCTAACACACTCTTCAATTGCTTGTATTTTAGCCTTAAACTTAGCAGTATGTTTTCCCAATGGAACGGTAATATTTCGGACTTTGGTGTATCTCGATGTATGCCAGAGCCTGTTTCTTTGCTTCTTTAATATCACACGAAACTCCCAAGTAACAAACTATTTGTCTGATCAAGGTTAGGAGTGGTATGATACCATACCTTAGGAACAGTTAGCTCAGAGGATCCTATTCTTGAATCTCTAGGAGTGGAAATTATAATGGACAAATATAAATTTCGTACATTTCAGATAAAAAAATGTGTTTTCTGTTCCCTCGGATTTAAGAATAACTGCCCCGGTATTATCCTGGTATAAATGTTTTATATTTTTCAGTGGGTTTGAGTTGGAAATGTCCAGTTTGTTTGATATTGTCCTGATTTTCTAGTTTGCAACTAAGTTAAGGAGTGGGAGATTTAGAATAATTTTCTGTTGGACATTTTAATTTTATTGCGATAAAAACCGTATTGCAGCCTCTTAAGTCTAAGAACGTCATCTAAATTATTGGAAAGTTAGGTTTATTAATAATATTAAAAATAATACCGAGTTCACTTTCAAATGGAAGGTAAATGCTTTAAAATATAAAAGACGATTTCCATTGTACTTTTATTCCCGATTTTAAATCAAACTGATACCGACTAATACCAACTAATAACACAAACAACTACTTCCAGGGCTATATGCTCAACACAGTGTTATAAAACTTTGTTGATGCAACAAACCCTTTAAATTGGCATTTAAGGAGCTAACATTCCACGACCTATTTGGAAATTATCAGGCGAGAAGCAGTCAACTGGAATTTTCAGAGTAGATTAGAGATTCTAACTATTCAAGCTAACTTTTTCTTACCTGATTAGCTCTAAATAGGGAAATATTAGTTTCTTAAATGCAAAATAAAAGTGTTTGTTGCATATAGAAAGTCGGTAGCAAACACGTTTTATAATATTAATCCAACGGCCAGTTGAGCATACAGCCATGGAAATAGTTGTTTATCTCTTAAGGCAGCCGGGAATATTCCCCGGCCCGTTGGTATGGTGGCAATTACCTTTTATATTCGATTAAAAGTTAGGTTTCTTATGAGCCAGTATCTATTATTTGTTACTATTTCATAAAATAGAAAACTTCAACTTTTTGAAAAAGTCGCTACAAAAAAATTAAATAAGCTAAAATTAAATTGCTCGAAAGGCTCGAGAGAAACAAGAAATTATCATCAAGAGATCGTCGCTTCTCAAGTCTCTTTTCCAGATAAAAACTATTTCAAGAATAGGCGGAGGAGACGAAAGTCGACAATCTTTAATCTCGCAGCATCATTAATCCTAAACAAATTATTGCTTATTGGATTTGTCAGTGTATCTTCTTGATACTCTTTGACATGAGATCTTTATTACGGTTATGAGATTTTTGGAACGTTCAGATACAGTTTCAATACTATAGTTCTTATAATTGTTATAGTAATGCCCTTTTTGTACATTATCATGATTAAGTTGGCTTCTCTGTATATTCTTTACTTAATATTAAAGGATTTAAACAATTTTACATTACAATTTCTTAGTTCAAAATTTATTTTAAACAGTTTTGCCTCATTGCTGTTTGTGTTAAGTAGAGAATAGGTAAAAATACATGTATAGGGTGTTCCATAAGATAAGAAAAAATTGACTTTATAGCGACAGGTAACATAATTGTTTACAAGTAAAACACAATATCGAGCTAATGGCTATCGCGAGTTCTCCAGCAGCACACAATTCTTCTTTTGTCTAAATTTATCTATCACAGCTAAGCACATTTCTGGTGTTATCTCACGACTAATGCCTCAAATCTTATTTTGTAATCTTGACTTGTTTGGAGATTGTTTACGTATGTTTCACTTTTGGAATTTCCTCCTTCCTGGATAGTAGCTAAGCTAATTTTAATACCAAAGAGTAAGCCAGCAGATATATTGTCAAACTATAGACCGATATGCCTGCTGAATATGCTAAATAAGCTGTATAAAGCATTCCTAAGGAACAGTCTGGTTGTAGGACTGTAGGAGGACAAGATTGGTTTCAGGAATTGCCCCTCCACAATACTTGCTATAGGAAGGGTTAAAAAGAAAGTAGAAGAGTGTAATAGTAAGCAGCTGGTACTGGTAACTCTCGTTGTAAAAAATGCATTCAAAACCGCAGAATGAAGTATTATTGTTAGCGAACTGCATTAAAAATACCTAATCAACCTTGTTAGAAACTATTCCAGTAATCGGAGGATACCCATCACTAAGAAAAAGGACATGAGAATGACAACAAGAGTTCCGCAGGGATAGGTACTTGGACCTACCCTGAATGATGAAGTTATTGAGACAGCGCCTATCCGATGGAGCCAGAAGGATTGGATTTGCTGTTGACTTGCAGGTTCTGGTAAAAGCAAGCGATAAGGAGAAGATAACATATAGGGCCAACCAAACGTTGAGGAGGATAGACGTGTGGATGATAAATCATCACATAAAATAGAGGATGTAATATTACACGGTAATTGTTGGAAATGCCACTGGGAAGCGATCAGTTTCGAGCTCAGAGATGTATAAATAGTACCGAGAAGAGCTATAAGATAACTGGAGATAATGCTGGATTATAAAATGAACTTTGAATGCCACGTGAAAGCAACGATGACAAAGGCTTTGGAAAGGATTATGCCGAACATAGGTGGCCCTGGAGCAAATAGAGTAGCTCTACTGGGAGTGGTGCACTCGACTATGTTATATGGAGCACCAGTATGGCACAGAGTAGTAGGACAAAAATATATCGGGAGATGTTAACTAGATCTCAAAGGCGAATGCTACTAAGAGTCACGGCAGCCTACCGGATGATGTCTGCTAAGGCACTACAAGTGTTGAGGGGGTACCGTCAATCGATTTATTATTGATAAAACAAAAGAGGCTGTATAGTAGACAAGACTCTGAAAACGAAATTGTTAGAAGACAAGAGAGGATGACAACGCCAGAAGAACATCAGCGGATATGGAACGGAACAAAGGATGGGACAAAATTAATTCCAAGAATCATCGTGTGGATTAAATGTAAACACATTAAACTGAGTTACTACGTAACACAAGTTCTGATCGGCTACGGCTCTTTTAGATCTTTAAGTAAAAGAATAGGATAGACGGAAAATGACCTGTTCATCTATTGCGGAGTTGTGGATAATGTGCTACACACTTTATTCGAATACCACAGATACGAGTTACAAAGATAAGAAATGATGGAGAGGGCAATTAATGAAGAGAATATGGGTCCAAAAATAATGAAGAGTACCAAATTGTTATTGCTGGTAGAGAAAACATATTATAAAGAAAAAGAAAGATGAAGAAAGGATGTACGTTTGTGAAAAGTGGTGCCTGAATGCCCGGTGAAGAAAAGGAGGGTTTTAGTCAGTAAAAGTCCGACACTACAATCTTGCGATTGAAAGTAAGCAAGCTGTGTCTATGAAGTGGTTTCTTCAGCCCAAAAAATGGTGATCCATTAACATTCTTGAAAAAAATCTATCTTAAAACTGTATTTGCAATAATTTCATTGTGTTCTTGAGAAGATGTACTCTCTTATTGAAACCATTTATTTTAAGCAACAAAAAAAACATCGTGAGGCAATGCTCATGTGACGATAACACCAGAAATATGTTCAGATGTGATAGAAAAATTTGAGCAAAAAAGTTGTGTCCTGCCAGAGAAGTTGTGGTTGTCATTTGTTAGATATTGTGTTAAATGTAGAATTCTTATTGATTATATTGCTTATTTCTATAAAATCTTGTATTTTTTATTATTTGGTTTCCGTTTTACTTAATAAAATCATTCAGAATCTAGGAACACTCTTTACATAAACAATAGAAATAAAACTATTCAAAATCGATATTAGAGTATAATTTAATACTAAATAACAACGAAGTAAATAGTTTTGGCAAATGTGGTTATAATTTTACTTGATACTGTTCCATAATTTGTCTTTATACCATATTTAAATATTATTGGTAGTTATGAAATTTGGAATAATTTACATTATGTTTGACGATGGCCATATAGTCCAAAATTAGATACTTCGTTCTTATTTAATATTAAATTATATTATAGCATATATTTTAAGAAAAATAGATAATATTTCTTTAATTTTTATAGAACGT